TCCTCCTCCATTTGTTTAGGCACTCCTACAACACTCACTTCCCCTTGTTTCTTGGGTTCGGATTCGCCTTTTTCCAAAAAGGTTCTGTGGTTGTTGAAAAATTCCTCTTCTTTGAGTGGGGTATCGAATCTGTATCCTCTGTCCACCTGCTGAGGTCTGCCCCAGGGTAAGACTTGGTAGAGGCTTCTCCCCAGCACTTCACTTCCTTCTGGTCATTACCTTGTGCAAACATTCCTTGCACACTCCCCATGGTACAGATAAGTGCTTCTCTGAGTTGACCACTATTGCAAATTCTGCCTAATGTAAACACCTGCTGCAGTTGGCCCTCTCAGGAAAGAATGACTCTTGACACCATGTATTTAATCTAAAGAACTTTCCTGAGAGATAGTGGTTGCAATAAGGTCAGGTTGAATCTAACGATCCCGCGCAAATCACCAAGCTATTCTTCCCATTCCAAAACCCAACCCGCTAACCAGTCCACCAGCAGCCAATACATTGCTGCAAGGTTGCTTTGAGAGTGCTGAGGTACAGGACAGATAACAGGTCATCCTCAGGGCACAGCGACCTTGGAATAAGGCTGGAACCGGCTGGGAGGGAGTCCATCCCATCTCCAAAGACAATCTCCCTACGGTTACAGCAGAAGAGAAAGCATGAAAAGAATGCTCCCCGGAGCCTCCCCCTCCCGCTCCCCCCTCCAACAGAATGGCAGGGAACCCAGAAGGAGACCTGACATGAAGTTCCATGCAATAGTTAAAAAAACTTCAAATATTTCTGCTAACTCATACTCTAATGGTGTGAATTATATGGTATAAGCCCTGGTGGTGCATTGGTTAGAAGGCAGTATTGCAGGCTAATAATAGTAGTAAAGTTGGAAGGGACCTTGGAGGTCATCTAGTCCAATCCCCTGCTCAGGCAGGAAACCCTACACCATTTCAGACAAATGGCTGTCCAGTCTCTTCTTAAAAACTTCCAGTGTTGGAGCATTTACTGCTTCTGGAGGCAAGCTATTCCACTGATTAATTGTTCTCACTGTCAGGAAGTTTCTCCTTAGTTCTAGGTTGCTTCTCTCCTTGATTATTTCCACCCGTTGCTTCTTGTCCTGCCTTCAGGTGCTTTGGAAAATAGCTTAATTGCCTCTTCTTTATGGCAGCCCCTGAGATATTGGAATACTGCTATCATGTCCCCACTTGTCCTTCTCTTCGTTAAACTAGACATACCCAATTCTAGCAACCGTTCCTTATATGTTTTAGCCTCCAGTCCCCTAATCATCTTTGTTGCTCTTCTCTGTACTCTTTTTAGAGTCTCAACATCTTTTTTACATCGTGGTGACCAAAACTGGATGCAGTATTCCAAGTGTGGCCTTACCAAGGCATTGAAGAGTGGTATTAATACTTCACGTGATCTTGATTCTATCCCTCTTTTAATGCAGCCTAGCACTGTGTTGGCCTTTTTGGCAGCTGCAGCACACTGCTGGCTCATATTTAGGTGATTGTCTACTAGGACTCCGAGGTCCCTCTCACAGTTACTACTATTGAGCATGGTGCCACCTCTGCTGTACTTGTGCATTTGGTTTTTCTTGCCTAAATGTAGAACCTTGCTTTTTTCACCATTGAATTTCATTTTGTTAGTTAGTGCCCATTGTTCAAGTCTGTCCAGATCCTTCTGTATCTGAAGCCTGTCTTCTGGAGTGTTGGCTATTCCTGCCAGCTTGGTGTCGTCTGCAAATTTGATGAGTTCCCCATCTATCCCTTCATCCAAATCGTTGATGAAGATGTTGAAGAGCACTGGGCCAAGAACAGAGCCCTGGGGCACCCCACTACACACTTCCCTCCATATAAATGCAGTTCCATTGAGGACCACTCGCTGAGTACGGCCGGTCAGCCAGCTACGGATCCATCTGGTGGTGATTCTGTCTACCTCACATTTTTCTATCTTATCAAGTAGTAGGTTGTGATCTACTTTATCAAATGCTTTACTGAAGTCCAAGTAAATTATGTCCACAGCATTCCTCTGATCCACTAATTTTGTCACTTGGTCAAAGAATGCAATAAGATTTGTCTGGCATGATCTATTTTTGACAAACCCATGTTGGCTTTTATTAATGACTTTGTTTGCCTCTAGGTGTTCATTGATTTGTTGTTTGATTATCTTTTCCAGGATCTTCCCAGGTATTGAGGTCAGGCTGATACGTCTGTAATTTCCTGGATCCTTTTTTTTTTTTTCCTTTTTTGAGGATGGGAACTACATCAGGTCTTTTCCAGTCCTCTGGTTGTTCCCCTGTGTTCCAGGATCTTTGAAAAATATAGTTCAGTGGTTCCGATATCACATCTGCCCGTTCCTTGAGAACCTTGGGGTGTAATCCATCTGGTCCTGGCGATTTGAACTCATCCAGGCTGGACAGGTGCTCACTTACCATTTTCTTGCCTATCTTAACTTGTGTTTCTATTTTGTTTTTTATGGCACTATTTTTGATAGGTTGGTCTGTTTTTTCCCTTTGTGTAAAGACAGATGCAAAAAACGAGTTAAATAGTTCTGCTTTCTCCCTGTTGCTTGTCACCTTCTTGCCACTTCCACCCACTAATGGACCAATAATTTCCTTCACTTTTTTCTTGTTTTTTACATGTTGAAAGAAGCTTTTTTTGTTATTTTTGACTTTGGTCGCAAGCCTTAGTTCATTTTGAGCCTTGGCTTTCTTCACTTCATCTTTGCAGGCTCGGGCTATTTGCTGATATTCTGACTTAGTTATGTTCCCCTCTTTCCACTTTCTATACTTGTCCTTTTTATCTTTCAATTTGTCAGAGAGTTCTTTATGCAGCCATGCTGGTTTCTTTTGAGAGCTGTTATTTTTCCTCTTTGTTGGTATTGTGCTAGACTGTGCTTTTATTATCTCATTTTTCAAAATTTCCCAAGCTTCTTGAGTTGTTTTCCCCTTGAGGATTCTCATCCATGGAATCCTTCCCAAGCCCTCTCTAAGTTTATTGAAATTAGCTCTCTTGAAGTCCAAGACTCTAGTTTGACTGTGTTCTATTGCTTGTGCTTCTATAATGTTGAATTCTAATATTGCATGATCACTTCCTCCCAGGGTTCCTATGGCTTCAACACCTTCTATCATTTCATCTCTGTTAGTGAGAATTAGATCCAAAATGGCTAACCCCCTAGTTCCCTTCTCTACTTTTTGGGAGACAAAGTTGTCTGCTAGGTTTGCCAGGAACCTGTTTGATCTTCCACTTGGTGCGGAGTTTGTCTCCCAGTTGATGTCAGGGTAGTTAAAGTCCCCCATTATTATTGTGATGTGCTTCCTACATACCTTAGTTAGCTGACTCCTTATACACTGGTAAAACCTCTGAGAAAGTAAGCCTACAGCCTATTCTGTTAAGTTCCTTCCCCAAGCTCTGGAAATCATTCTGCACAGAGAGTACATCTTTTTGGGACAGATCGTTAGTGCCAAGATGTACAATAGCCTCCACATCACAGTCCTTGCTGCCATTCTTGATTATTTTAGAAATACGCTTCTTGTCCCTACTGGCAGTAGCACCTGGAAGACACCTGACCTCTTTCGAAGCCTCTGTGTCCTTTCCTAAATTTACATCCCTTATAACTGAATCACCTACCAGAAGGTAGCTTCTCTTTTTGGGTGCCTTTCTGTTCTTGCATGACTGATGTGCAATACCTGATTCACACTAATCCCTGTCTAAATCTAGTTCTTCATCTCGGACCACAATCCCCTGCTTATTTGAGTTATCTTCACAAATACCTTTACCTGTCTCCTTAATATCCCTATTAAGGTCAGCAAGGGCACTGTAACTGTTGTGCAGGGACATAGCGAAAGCTTGGTGTTTATGGTTCACAGCTCTCACCCTGACAGAACCCACGGTTGTCCACACTGCCCTTCTCCTGCAGGATCTTTGTGGTAAAGGGGCTGATAGCATGGAGGCTTACTAGAGTAGAGGGGCTGAACTGGACATCTAATTTCTGCCCAAAGAGCACGGATTACAGACCCTAGGTAAATGATCTGTCCTTGTAGGCTAGTGATTTGTTTACAGATATGACAGTTTCCAAGTTTCCAAGTTTGAAAAGAGTACTGCACTGAACTAAGCCAGACATTCTTAGATACAGGGGATCTCAGACACACTTGCCCTGAATGTACTGCTGCTGTTTATGGTTTTTAGTTATATAATTCACGCGCCGTTAGGTGCGCGGACCGCTACTTTCCTGGTGGATTCTCCCAAAACTTACAGCTCTGGCAGCAGTTGATGCAATATAGCATGTCCCAGCAGCTCTGGCAGGAGTTGAAATGGAGTTTAAATACAGTATAAATATAATGGAGATCCAAACAAGGCCTAGCTACTTTCCTGGTGGATTCTCCCAAAACTTACAGCTCTGGCAGTATTGCAGGCTAACTGTGCCCACATCCTGGAATTTGATCCTGATGGGCTCAGCATTGATTTCATCCTTCTGAGGTCAGTAAAATGAGGACCCAGATTGTTGAGAGTAATATGCTGACATTGTAAGCCATTGAAAGAGTGCTGTAAAGCACTATGGAACAGTATATAAGTGCTGTTGCTATTGCTAATGTCATTCGGTTTTTAAACATAGAGCAAGTGATAGAAGAACTTATTGTAGGTAAATAATTTGCATAAGGAGATATTTTAAAAATAGAGTAGTACAATTTATTTTCCCTTGTTTGAAGTAGTATGGAATTAGGTTTTTATGCATTTACTATATATTCTCTTATCCATGTCAGTGGGAAATGGAGCACTACAAAACTGCATATGAATTGTATTTGCATAAACAAAGGAAATTATATAAAGGTATATGGAAATCCATGTTATACAGGAATATGTAAATACAGCTGCCACATGTTAGTGCTTCATTTTGCTAAAATGAGGCCAATGAATTGCTCTTGTAAGTCTTAGCATTACTGGTCTGCATAATTTTTTTCCTAGTTTTTGATGTGAAACAATTCAATTCTCCTTGGTTACTTTCTTTTTATACATTAGGTCCTGTTACTGAAGTCAAAACAGATATCTATGTCACAAGTTTTGGACCTGTTTCTGATGTAGAAATGGTAAGTATGAGTATTTTGGTAGGTTTAAGGAGGAAAAAAAAAATTAAAGCTAGTACTAAGTGGGTGACTAAATGAAGGGCTTTGGGATTCACCCGTTATTCATGTAAAAAATTACCAGATTACCAATAACTTATTTTCAGGCTTATTACATGTGGCTATGACAGCTTCTATTCTGGTCTTTCAATATTTTAAAAAAGAAAAAAAACCTCAAAAAATTGGCATGGTAGGGATAGGTGCTTGACTGAAGTCAGTCAGGATATGATGAATATATTACAACAGTGATGGTGAATCTTTTAGAGACCGAGGGCCCAAAAATCGTCCCCACCCCACCTCCCTGCCAGCCCCGCTCCGCTTCCTACCCCATCCCATCTCACCCAGTCTGACCCCACCCCACCCCACTCCCTGAGCTACCCACCTCCATGGCTCGCTGCAGCAGATTGCCCAGGTGGCCCAGCAGCACCATGGTGGCCATGGTCTCCGCCCATGCCCTGTAGCATCATCTGCATGCTGTCCAGCTGTCCCCACTGTCCAGCTGCCATGTCTTTGGCTGCGCTGCTCCATATGGGCCGTGCTCAGGGCAATTCTCCAGGGGGGCTGCTGGTGAGGAGGGGCTGTGGGAGGAGGTGGGACTGGGCCGACAGCACGCGTGCCGACAGAGAGGGCTCTGAGTTCCACCTTTGGCACTGCATGCCATAGGTTCGCCACCAAGTGAAACCATCCCATTTGCCTGGGAGGAAAGGCAAGAAATAACATCAACACTGATCCTATGCTCAGAAACACCTCTGAATTTTCAAATTATACTACACATTACATATGTATGTAAGCAATTATCTTGCAATAACAGTTTTAAAAGAATAATAAAGGATAAACTGAAATTTTTAGAAATTGAATTCTACCCAATGCATTTTTATTTTATTTTTATTTTATTCAGTTTTGACACTTGCAGGACATTTCAACAGTTGTATAACCATCCCCAGATAGAAATAGAAATGGTGCCCAGAACTATATGATTGAAAACACCCAACACATACGTATTTTAAGACAGGGGAAGGCCTTGATTAGGTGATTATGGTCACCATCTTGATTTTTTTTTAAGACTTCTTGTGAATGTCCCAATGCAGGGGTCTTCTCTACTGAGCAATATGCCTAGATGCTGAGGGCCCACTTAAAATGATTCTGCATGATTTACAAACTTCCATATCTATCTTAAATATAAATGGTGGTGAAGTCAGAAGACTTACTATTTTGTGGAAAATCTGTCTTCGCTTTTTGTTTAACCCAATGATGTTTTTACTGGTTGCAATTCAATAACATTTCTTTCATTTGTTTGCTATAAGCATACAGTACAGTATATTCCCAGTGTAAATTTTAATCATTTGTAGAAAAAAACAAAATAGCATGGACACAAAATCATTAACATATGTTAGTCAATTAATCATTTTGTTTCCAATCCTGAACAAGTTTAATTACATACTTCTTGCCATTCTATTAGATTACACTAATTATTTTTGATTTAGTATGTTTAGTAATTTATATAACTAATGTAGCAAATTAAAGTATTAAAATGTTTATAGTTCTGTCAAATTGATAGTGTTTAGGGAATTTATAGTTTCCTATCATTGATTTGTCCTTGGTGAAATGCATGTACTGTATAACATTATTTCATTTGCTTCCCAATTATTGTAGGAATACACAATGGATGTTTTCTTTCGTCAGACATGGGTGGACAAGAGATTAAAATATGATGGTCCCATTGAAATTCTAAGATTAAACAACTTGATGGTTAACAAAGTGTGGACCCCAGATACTTTCTTTCGAAATGGAAAAAAATCTGTGTCTCATAACATGACAGCCCCAAATAAACTGTTTAGAATTATGAGAAATGGCACCATTCTCTATACAATGAGGTAACTGCTTTATATATTCTGTACTTTTACATGATTTAGTAATTGGTGATGTACTATCCGATGTCAGGACTAATTTTACATGGTTCCTATAGGCTCACCATAAGTGCCGAGTGTCCCATGAGATTGGTGGACTTCCCAATGGATGGACATGCTTGTCCGCTAAAATTTGGAAGCTGTAAGTCCCTGTTATGACATTTTACTTATGGTACTAAAGCTTCATTTTTGTTCTTGTTGTAAGAAACAGGTCAGAGAATAGCCAGAGGCTTATGTCTTTGTCAAAAAAGAAAGCTGGTGTCCCTGAAAGCAACATGAATGCTTTCAATGGGTTTTAAGATAAGTTCTTAAGACTAATGTCCTGTCCATTAATTTTTTTTTCTAAATATATCTTGTTCAGATGCATATCCAAAGAGTGAAATGATCTACACCTGGACAAAAGGGCCAAAATATTCAGTGGAAGTCCCTGAAGAGTCTTCCAGTTTAGTTCAATATGACCTGCTTGGACATACAGCATCTACTGACACAATTAAATCCATCACAGGTAAGATTCTTCCAAGTTTAGATAAACTTGCTTGTTCTTTGCTGGGTAATTCTTTAGGAGGCAAAGTGAAAATGATTGAAAAGGCAATTAAAAACATGGGAGTTTGTAACAAGTGGCATGTTTCATAACTGTTTGTCAATACTAATTATTATTTGTGACTTAGTACAACAAAAATCTGCAGGTGGTCCAAAGAAATTCATATTAAAAAGCTGCTAGAGCAAATGTATCAAGTATAACCATTATTACTGTTTGTGACGGTTTTTAAAATCATGTTTGAATAAAGCAATAGGTAGAACAGCAAGAGAAGTGACAATACTGATGGTCTGTAGGTGTTTTTTTAATTAATTTCGTTGTTTATATTATGTGAAGATTTACTAATTTGCTGTTATTGGTGCAGTTGAAATCTTGTACTGTAACTGAGGACAGAACTGGGCAGCAGAGGAAGCAGATGTAGCTGACATATTTTTGAATGGCATTACTGATAGCAAGAGGAAGCAATATTTTCATAATGAATTGGAATTTATTAGTCAGTGAGACACTACTGATCCCTGATTCATTCAGAAAAACTTTATACAAAAAGTTATCAAGGGATAACAATCAAATCTTCGCACATTTTCTATTCAGTATTTGAGGCTCTTTAAGAACATCCTTCTAACTCAGTGCAGTTAAATTTGCATCCTATTAAATTAAGTTTCAATAGCAGCCAATATTAGAATAATTATTTGATACAAGAAATTTTAACTATATAGAATTAAATTAAAAAGTAAATTTTTTTCATTGATGTATCTTGATATGAGCTGAGAAAATTGCATCCTATTCTATCAATCTGTGATTGTCAATGGCTCTCTGAAGGTTCAATAAACTTTTTTTCATTGCTGCCAAAGATGGCATTATTTTGCTTTTGCAGGCCATGCTTCCTTGGAAGAGCCTAGATATTCATATAAATATAAGATACACTTAAGAAATCTTATAGATGTGCTTTTGAAATCCATTTTACTTTTCTGTTGTATATTTAATTACTTCTCAATTACCATCCTATAACAGAGAGGTGAGAGACCATTCCACTTTTTAAAAAAATATATCTTACCTATATTGATTCATTTATTCTCTATTGTGAAATAATCTGATTTCTCATTTGGGACACTGAATCTGAAATACAAGTTCCCTAGAAGAGAATATTTGCTTGTTGGAACACTAAGTATCACCCAGACCTTTGATAGTACCCTTTCATCATGTCGTATTTTTTTTCCTACAAGATAGCATTTCTTTCTTTCTTTTTTCTTTTTATTAAGTGTGTGGGTGTATGTAACATAATACCAGGATGTAACATAAGATCAAGAGAATCTTCTATACTCTGATGACCTCCATCCAATTCCTTATATGAATTCTGTGTTGGTGCAAACCAGGTTCAGCAGTATATGCTCTAGGTTTGAGCAGGCTCCGTGCAGATTTCACAGAGGGCCTCCTTATTATGTCAATGGCCTTATCAATGCTTCCTTGATAGCAATGGCAAATAGCAGTAGTTACTCCACCCTGTATTAAGAAGCAATGTAGAAACATTGAGTTCTCTAGAGTAGCTAGATGTATATAGCTATCTGTGAGGGATTATGGAAGAGGAGGAAAAGAATGGAAGGGATATAAAATATGAAGAGATGGTTGGCGAGGCAGTTGATAGCTTAAATGGCAACTCAGCCCAGGTGGGAAGAAATCTAGGCAGAATCATTGCAAAATATTCAAAATACTCTACCTTTATTTCCTCATTATAAATGAAGCTGGAAGATTTTACTTACATTTTCCAAGGTTCTGTATTTCTCCAGATGAGCATTAAAGATTTTACTGAATTATGTGTAATTTCTTGCTTTCTTGAACTTGTTCAGTTGCATGATGCTCAGTACTCTCACAATTTAGACAATGAGGTAGGAAAAGAATATGATGGATCCAAATTATACATTAGGGACACATGATCTAATTAGCTGTTTTGGTGGACAAGTCAAAATAAAACATATAGAGAAGAATTTGGATTGGAGGGGGCAACCTTTTGATAGCCAAAATTCTTTTCTGATGTTTTCTTCTGGGAGAAAATATCAATAGGTGGGGACATGACAGTTGAGATGGTTCTGAATATGGCTAATGATAGAATAGAATAGAATAGAATAGAATAGAATAGAATAGAATAGAATAGAATAGAATAGAATAGAATAGAAGCTGGAAAGGACCTTGGAGGTCTTCTAGTCCTGCCCCCTGCTCAAGCAGGAGAACCTATACCATCTCAGACAAGTGACTGTCTAGCCTCTTCTTAAAATTCTCCAGTGATGCAGCACCCACGATTTCTGGAGGCAAGCTGTTCCACTGGTTAATTGTCCTCATTATCAGGAAGTTTCTCCTTAATTTTTCTTAATTCTCTTTGATCAGTTTGATCAGTTTCCAACCATTGTTTCTTGTTCTACCCTCTGGTGCTTTGGAGAATAACATGACCCCCTCTTCTTTGTGGCAGCCCCTCAAATACTGGAATGCTGCTATCATGTCTCCCCTATTTCTTCTTTTCTTTAGACTAGCCAAACCCAAATCCCGCGGCCGTTCTTTGTATGTTTTAGTCTCCAGGCCTTTGATCATCTTAGTTGCTCTTCAAATAATTTTTTCCAAGGTCTCAACATCTTTTTTATGATATGGTGACCAAAACTGGCTGCAGTATTCCAGATGTGGTCTTACTAGGGTTTTATAAAGCAGTACTAATACTTCACGCGATCTTGATTCTATGCCTCTGTTTATATAACCCAGGATTGTATAGGCTTTTTTGGCTGCTGCTGCACACTGCTGGCTTATAGTCAAGTGTACATCCACTAGGATTCCAAGGTCCCTCTCACAGTTGCTGTTTTTAAGCCAGGTCTCACTTAATCTGTACTTAAACCTTTGATTTTTGCTGCCTAAATGTAAAAGTTGGTCAGGGCAATCCTAAAAAAGCTCCAAGTAGCTCACCTTTATGCTAAAACTATCTAAATGTGAATTCTACATTTGATTATTGATTATCAGGCATATCACCAAATGGCATAGAAATGGACCCCAAGAAACTCCCAGCAGTTTTAGAGTGGGCTCTGCCCTGCACCAGAAAACAGTTACAAAGTTTCCTTGGCTTCACTAACTTTTACCAGCAGTTCATCCCCTCCTTTGCCCAGATTGTGTTGCCAATTACGAACTTATTATAAATCAGAGGAAAGGGGAAGCCCAAGCCAAGCCAACCGTTAAAATGGACAGTAGAATATCAAGCCGCATTTGAAAGGCTTAAAAGACTTTTTTTCTGCAGAACAAGTTTATATATATATATATATATATATATATATATATATATATATATATATATATATAACTTTTATTGAATAAAAAAAGGAATTAAAAACATTGAACATGGTAAATCAACATTTGACAGACATCTCTGTCCATATTTACATTAATTACAAATAAATCTCTTTACAGTAACATCATTCTAATCTCAATCTTGACTTTTCTCATTACAATGACCTCCATTTTTTCCCCACCATCTATAAAATTTATTCCATATTTGATAAAAGTCTGATTCATCCTGATTTTTTAATCTTTTAGTTATCGTGTCTAATTCTGCGCAATACATGATTTTCTGAATTAATGTTTCCCCACTCGGTACATCCGTAGCTTTCCATTTTTGAGCAAATAATATCCTTGCCGCTGTAACCACGTGAATGAATAAATATGTTTCATCTTTACTTACATTTTTTCAAGTATTCCTAACAGCAATGTCTCAGGTTTGTACTGAATGTTTTGCATAGTCATTTCTATTGCCCATTCCCAGACCGTACGCCAATACACCTGTGCTTTTCTACATGTCTACCAAACATGAAAAAGTGCCCTTTTCTTTTTTACATTTCCAACACATAGATGAATATCCGTTATACATTTTGGCTAATCTAGCTGGAGGGAGATGCCATCTGTAAACCATCTTATACAAATTCTCTTTATATGTTGACACCAATGTGATTTTATTGTTTCACATCCATACCTGCTGCCATTGATCCAAATTAATATTATGTCCTAGATCTATCGCCCATGTCACCATTGTTTCTTTGACCTGTTCTTTGAATAGTCTATACGCCAATACGTGTTTATAAATATTCTTTATTTGTTTTTTCTCCGGGCCTAGCAATATTTTGTCTAGCCCCATATCTTGTCTATTAATACCCCATTCTTGCTTATCTTTCGTGTATCTTGCTTGAATCTGGAGGTAAGACCACCACTCTATGTCTATTCCTTGTTGTCATAACTCTTGTTTTTGATTTTAAATAATCCTCTTCTGTCAGAATGTCTTTATATGTAATAACCTTGTCTTTCCTAAACAGATTGGGGTATGTAACTGCCTCCAGTGGCGATAACCAAGCTGGAATCTTTGTACAATATTGATGTTTAACTGTGTGCAGAACAGGTTTTGAGACACCCTGACACTGACAAACTTTTTGTGATTCAAGCTGATGCTAGTAATGTAGCCATAGGGGCAGTACTCTTGCAGGAAAATGATGAGGGAGCATTACAACCCTGTGCTTACACATCAAGAAAGCTCACAGAAACAGAACAAAATGGTGGGCGGTCTGGGAGAAAGAGGCATATGCAGTGAGACGGGCTCTTCTCACTTGGCGGCACGTCCTGGAAGGAAACAAAATTACTTTCCAAGTGACCAACCACAAGAACCTGGAAGCACTAAAGATGCCCAGGAAATTAACCCCTAAAAAAGCAAGGTGGTTGCAGCATTTCCACCAATTTAACTTCACATTGAAATATTTGCTGAGAGGAAAAAACTTTCTAGCAGACACACTGTCTAGAATGCCACAATACACCCAGGGATTATCATCAAGTCATCATCCACAAACGAATGGTAGGACTGAAAGGTCGAACTCAGTACTGGAACAGTACTTAAGATGCTTTATAAATTACCAGCAGAACAACTGGACTGACCTACTCCTGTTCACAGAGGTTGC